AAAAAAAAAAAGGAAACAAAATCCAACAATATGCTGTACACAAAAAACACATTTAACACATAAAGAAATTCGTGGGCTAAAAGTCAAAGGACAGAAAACAGTATTACATGCCCCAGTACCTCAGAAAAAAGCAGGGGTGGAAATCCTATTCTCACACAGTCTCAACTTTAAACCAAGAATGATCAAGCAAAATAAAGACGGCCACTATATACTGGTTAGGGGAAAAATTCAAGAGGAAGAGGTAACACTCATAAATATGTATGCACCAAAAACAGGAACACCCAACTGTATAAAGCAAATCTTAATGGACATGAAAAATCTAATATTCAATACCACAATCTTAACAGGAGACCTTAACACCCCTTTATCCTGAAAAGATAGGTCAACCAGACAAAAAAATAGGCAAAGAAATAACATAACTGAACCAGAGCTTGAAACAAATGGACTTGGTGGACATACACAGAGTATTCCACCCAAACACAGCTGAATACACAATTTTCTCAGCTGCACATGGCTCAGTTTCTAAAATAGACCCCATACTGGTCCATAGGTCATGCTTAAGTATATGCAAGAAAACAGAAATTATTCCATGCACATTATCTGACCACAATGCAATGAAGTTGGAAATAAAAGACAAAAGAAATCAGAAAAAAACCCTAAATACATGGAAATTAAACGACACCCTACTCAGCAACCAATGGGTCACAGATGAAATTAATCAACAAATTCAACAATATCTACAATTCAATGAAAATTCAAGCACAATTTATCGGAATTTATGGGATACGATGAAAGCAGTTCTCAGAGGGCAATTCACAGCTGTGAACTCACACATTAGAAAAACAGAACAGGAACAAATGAATACCCTGATGGTGCACCTTCAACAACTAGAAAATGAAGAGCAAACTAAACCCAGAGCCCAAAGACAGAAAGAAATCACAAAGATTAGAGCAGAAATTAATTCAATTGAGACAAAGAAATCATTTCAAAGAAATAATGAAAAAAAAAGCTGGTTCTTTGAAAGATTAAATAAAATCGATAAGCCCCTAGCTAACCTCATCAAACAGAGGAAAGAAAAAATTCAAATACAAGCAATAAGGAATGAAAAGGGTGTAATTACCACAGACTCAGTGGAAATTCAGAAGATTATCAATAACACCTTTGAGAATCTTTACTCTCACAAAAGACAGCAGAAATGAATAGATTCCTAGAAAGGTACAATTACCACAACTGAATCGACAAGATGTAACCACTCTCAATAGCCCAATAACAGCCAATGAAATACGAGATGTAATTAAAAACCTACCGACAAAGAAAAGTCCAGGCCCAGATGGATACACAGCTGAATTCTACAAGAAATTTACAGAAGATGTAGTCCCTATACTCTTCAAACTCTTCCATGAAATTGAAAAGGAAGCAATCCTCCAAAAATCATTCTTGGAGGCAAGTATTATACTAATACCAAAACCAGGGAAAGATGCAACTAAGAAAGAGAACTACAGGCTAATCTCCCTCATGAACATAGATGCCAAAATCCTAGCAAATAGAATACAGCAAATCATCAAGAAGATCAACACCATGACCAGGTAGGATTCATCCCAAGGATGCAAGGATGGTTCAATATTCGAAAATCTATAAATGTAATACACAACATCAATAGAGTGAAAACTAAAAACCACATGATCATCTCAATTGATGTAGAAAAGGCTTTTGACAAAGTACAAAACTCATTCATGTTCAAAGTCCTACCGAAAATTGGAATAGATAGCCTCTACTTCAATCTGGTAAAAGCCATTTATGAAAATCCAAAGGCTAACATAATTCTAAATGGGGAAAAACTGAAATCTTTTACTCTTACATCTAGTACATCTAGTGCAAGACAAGGATGTCCTCTATCACCACTCCTATTCAATATAGTTTTGGAATCATTAGCTACAGCCATTAGACAAGAGAAAGAAATAAAAGAAATAAGAATAGGTAAAGAAGAAGTTAAATTATCATTATTTGCAGATGATATGATACTTTACTTGAAAGACCCAAAAAACTCCACCAAGAAGCTACTAGAATTAATAAAGAAGTTCAGTAGCACAGCAGGTTATAAAGTCAATACCCAGGGCAGTGGAGGGAGGGAAGATGGCGGAGGTGGGGGAGATAATCGAGGGCTGCCGCCTACCCGTACTGCGGCGGAACCAGGACAACGAAGATGAGTGGCCCCTGGCTGAGATCCTAAGTGTAAAGGACATCAGTGGCAGGAAGCTTTTCTACGTTCACTACATTGACTTCAATATATGTCTGGGTGAGTGGGTGACCCACAAGCGGCTGGATTTAAAGAAGATCCAGTTCCCCAAGAAAGAGGCTAAGACCTCCACCAAGAACGGACTTCCTGGTTCCCGGCCTGGGTCTCCAGAGAAAGAGGTGCCGGCCTCCGCCCAGACCAGCGAGAAGACCTTGCCAATCCCGGTCCAGATCACACTCCACTTCAACCTGCCTAAGGAGCGGGAGGCCATTCCCGGTGGTGAGCCTGACCAGCCGCTCCCCTCCAGCTCCTGCCTGCAACCCAACCACCGCTCAAAGAAATGGAAGGTGGAGGTGGTTTCACCAGCAACTCCAGTCCCCAGTGAGACAGCCCCAGCTTCCATTTTTCCCCAGAATGGGTCAGCCCGTAGAGCTGTGGCAGCTCAGCCAGCATAGAAGCGAAAATCAAATTGTCTGGGCACTGATGAGGATTCCCAGGACAGCTCCGATGAAATACTTCAGCTCCACGCATGACTGGCAGCTTGGTATCTGACAGGAGTCATGACGACATTGTCACCCGGATGAAGAACACTGAGTGCATCAAGCTGGGCAGGCATCGCCTCAAGCTGTGGTACTTCTCCCCATACCCACAGGAGCTCACCATGTTGCCTGTCCTCTACCTATGCGAGTTCTGCCTCAAGTATGGTCATAGCCTCAAGTGTCTGCAGCGTCACTTGACCAAGTGTGACCTGCAGCACCCACCAGGCAATGAGATATACCGAAATGGAACCATCTCATTCTTTGAGATTGATGGACGGAAGAACAAGAGTTATTCCCAGAATCTGTGTCTTCTGGCCAAATGTTTCCTCGACCACAAGACCTTGTACTATGACACAGACCCCTTCCTCTTCTATGTCATGACAGAGTATGGCTGCAAGGGCTTCCACATTGTGGGCTACTTTTCCAAGGAAAAGGAGTCCACAGAAGACTACAATGTGGCCTGCATCCTGACGCTGCCTCCCTATCAGCACCAGGGCTATGGCAAGCTGCTCACTGAGTTCAGCTATGAACTCTCCAAGGTGGAGGGGAAGACACGGACCCCTTAGAAGCCCCTCTCCAATCTTGGCCTCCTATCCTATAGAAGTTACTGGTCCCAGAAAATCCTGGAGATCCTGATGGGACTGAAGTCAGAGAGTGGAGAGAGGCCGCAGATCACTATCAACGAGATCAGTGAAATTACCAGTATCAAGAAAGAGGATGTCATCTCCACCCTGCAGTACCTCAACCTCATCAATTACTACAAAGGCCAGTATATCCTTACTCTATCAGAGGACACTGTGGATGGGCATGAGCGGGCTATGCTCAAGCAACTCCTTTGAATTGACTCTAAGTATCTACACTTTACTCCCAAGGACTGGAGCAAGACAGGAAAGTGGTGACAAGGCACTGCCTGCTACAGCAGCATGAGCCAGCAGAGCTGGGGCCATCAGCCTGCTACACAAACCCCCTAGGGTTCCCAGGAGACATGCCACAGGAGGCAAAGCTGAATACAGCTCCCAGAAGAGGGGCGGGGCCAGCACCGAGGCCCACCCAGGGCTCAGGTCAGCACCATGGTCAGCTGCCACAAGCCCAGGCCCACAATGAACCAGGGACCTGAGGGAGCCGGGCAGCCGTGTATACGGACATAGTTCCCGCTTGGGGAACTATGTACAGAAGGCTGGTGATTATAAAAATTTATTTTATAAAGTAAATGCTGGGGATCAGGTAATAACTAAATAAATAAATAAAGTCAATACCCAAAAGACAACAGCATTTCTCTACACAGACAACAAACACACTGAGAGGGAAATTATAGAAACAATACCTTTTACAACAGCACTGAGGAAAAGGAAATACCTTGGAATTAATCTAACTAAAGAAGTCAAAGATCTTTTCAGGGAAAATTACAGTACAAGATCGTAGAGGATTTCAGAAAATGGAAAGATATCCCATGCTCCTGGATAGGAAGAACCAACATTGTGAAGATGGCCATATGCTCAAAATTGCTGTATAGATTTAACTCAATCCTTATCAGACTACCACCAACATAGCTCACAGAGCTAGAGAAATCATTCCTAAAATTTATTTGGAACCAGAAATAACCTATACAGTAGCAAAGGCATTCCTGGGCAATAAAGACAAGGCAAGAGGCATTACAATTCCTGACTTCAAATTATACTACAAGGCTACTGTGATAAAATCAGCATGGTACTGGCAACAAAACATATCTGACAATCAATGGAATAGACTAGAAGATGTTGAAGCCCCTACAAACACACTCAGCCACCTTATGTTTGACAAAGGGGCCAAACATACTCATTGGAAGAAAGATAGCCTCTTTAACAAATGGTGCTGGAAAAACTGGCTCTCTACATGCGGAAAACTCAAACTTGACCCAGGTCTATCACCATGCACTAAGCTAAAGTCTAAACATTAAAGCAGAGACACTAAATCTCCTGGAAGAGAAAGTAGGAGGAACTCTTGAAGACATAGGGTAGGCAAAGAGTTCATGGACAGAAATCAAATTGCATGGGAAACAGTTGAAAGAATTAACAACTAGAACCTGCTCTTACTGAGTTTATTCACGTCAAAAGAAATTACCAACAAAGTGAAAAGGGAACCCACAAATTTGGAAAAAATCATGACAAATAAGTACTCAGACAAAGGTCTGCTCTCTAGAATTTATAAAAAACTAAAAACACTAGGGCCCCAAAATTTAAAGACCCAGTCCAGAAATGGGCATCTGAGATGAACAAACTCTTCTCAGAGGATGAAATTAAAGAAGCGAATAAATATATGAAAAAACGATCCACATCACTAGCCACATGCGAAATGCAAATTAAAACAACACTGAGATATCATCTCAACCCAGAAAGAACGACTATCACAAAGAAATCACCCAACAACAAATGCTGGAGAGGCTGTGGGGAAAAAGGAACCCTTCTCCACTGCTAGTAGGAATGTGGACTGGTGCAACCATTATGGAAATCACTGTGGAGACTCCTTAGAAAAGTTGGATTGGAAATCCCCTTTAAACCAGCTATTCCTCTACTGGGAATTTTCCCAGAGGATCTGCAAACATCATATCATAGGGATATATGTGTGCCTATGTTT